TCTACGCGAATCTAAAGGGCCAGATTCTACTATCAGTTTATGCTAGTGCATAATCATTGAATTCAATGGGATTGCATCGATGTAACGGAGAAGAGAATTTGGGTTTAAGAATTTAAACAGTAATTTGAAGCAAAGAGTATCCCATGAGCACTACTGAGATGTTGCTTCCATATTTCCTAAATCAATACAGTTCATGAATATAGATGCCAGTCATGGTTCTTAGCAAGTGCCAAAGTGCTGTTTTGTATATGTTTACCACCTTGTATGGAAGTTATATGCTTAAAAACTACCATTTGGCATTGCATCATCACCAGAAATATATCAGATTATGTCAGAATTGCTGGGTGTCTGGATGAGGCAGGTGCAAGTGCAGATGCAGGCTAGAGTGGGGGCTGGCTAGCATGGAAGGGAGCATGAGCAATCTGTCAGAACTACTAGGTAACAGAAGTGTTCCTAGCCAGATAGTGACATTGACCAGACAGGAGAGACTGTTTCCCTTAGGTGCTTATATACCTGCTTTGGGATCACCGGTGGATTGGCTGAACCCTGGTTGCATGGTCTGGGGCCTATCACAAGTCCTGCAGGTAATTGCCTCTGATGATGGATCACACTCTGGCTCATGGATGACTCATCAGGCTCAAGTGGGCTCAGGTTCAGTAATAACGCAGGAATGACGCATTAGAGATTATGACTCAGATTACTTCTGATAATTTAGAGGGAGTAGAAATCATTGTGGAATACCTGCAAATATGGACAGTAAGTGACGACGCACAGAATGAAGGGCTATGCAAAAATGTACTGGGAACACAAGAAATAAAACTGAATAAAGCATAGTGAAAAGCTGACCTAAAGGAAGACTCCTTTGAAAGCTATAAAGAAGGGGTGAGATTCTGTGCTCTGCCTCTAAGACGTGCACCACAGAATTCACAGCCCAGGTAGGAGAAGGGCTATGGTTGTTTTAAGGCACAGTTATGCCCTCCCAATCCGGGGCTGCTCTGGGCTCTGGAGAGACCCTGGCATAATTTAGACAGTTCTGGGAACTGCCTAAGTTACAGCAGCCTCCCTGGGCTGCCTTATAGGCCACAGAACTGCATTGCTGTTCTGTGCATTGCTGTATACTTTGGCCCCACCCCATATGGCTTCCTTGCTTATAGCAGGGCTTGTGAAGGGAGTCAGACTCAAATGTTTCTTCTTTTTTCTCTGCATTCTGTCAACATGCTCAGCTGGCTTTTTTTTTCTGCTTTTTGTGTTTTTTCTTATATGGTTTCTTTTGCTTTGCCTCGGAGTCTTCTTCACCAAGCCCAATAATAAGCCCAGAGTGGTGTTAAGAAGCCATAAAGGCCCCAGTTCCCACTAGGGGAGGATTTTCTTGGCACAGACTCTGTGGAGACTGCCATAAAGCTACCCGCCAAAGGCCCTTCCCATGTGAATTTTTGAGATGGGAACATTACAAGAAAATAGAGAACTTCAAATTTTCACAATCACATATCTTCATACATTTGTTCTAACTCTGTCACAGACAAGAATACTATTAAAAATGCTTCTTGTTATTGGGGTAAACTGGAAAAACAAGTTTCCAGGAATTTGTAAACAGCAGTGAGTACAAGTACACATGGTCTAGAAGCAGACTGAAAGTCACTGATTTCTGTGCTAACAAGTTCTATTCTACACTGTGTTCCTGTCGACTAATAAACCTTCTGTTTTACTGGGGGGGAGGGGGAAGTTACAGTAGCACACCAACCCACTAGCATATGCTTCAAAAGTATTAACAAGGTCATGACTGAACCATGGCAAGAGCGAAAAAAAAATATGATTGTCTGGTTGATAAATTCTGCCAATATATTTATGGCCAAGAAAGAGCTGACGTGGAAATAGATCATAGACTTCCATAAAGGGTTTCACTAGGGTTGCTGAGGTTATAAAGAATGCTTCAGAGACTGCAGTAATAAACCCGGAATTGTTGGCTTGGAGAGGAACTAATGTTTTTAGCAATTATATTATCAAGACCTGTTTTGCCTAACACCGCTTCTGTACAGGATGACACTGATACAGACTGTGAGCTTAATGTGACAAAGATTCTATCCCTGCCTATCAAAACACACAACAAACTTAGGCATGAAACTCTTTCCCACATGGTCTTGCAATAGCTGAAAGAAATGGTTGTACATGTTTGGCTGAAATCAAGCTTTCTGAAATCAGATTTTCTGACTAGTGCGACTTCCTTTTGGATTTGCCTTGATGAAATAATTATGTACATCAGTGCAGTCATGAAACTAGAAATGAAGACTTCCAGTTGTATAGATATTCCCGGGGAAAAATGAATAGGGAGTTAGGTGAAGATGAAACAAAATGAAGGTTCTAATTCACCTGCAATGCTTTTGATTACTGTTGGCTGGAAAATAGAAATCCCTCCCTGCAATTTTTTTTTTGGGGTGCATTTTTCACTGGAAGGGATTTCCAGAAAAATTCCATATTGGGAAAACCAAAATGGAATTTTTCAGCTTTCTGGCTGCCTACCTGGGAGACTTGTCAATTTTGCTTTCTCAGCCTCCCTGCCTTGCCTTGGGTCTCTGCACCTCTGGCAGCCAGGCTGTGGAGGGAGGTGGGGAGGCTGAACACCCTAGCTTTTTTCCTCTTCAGCAGCGATAGCTGGTAAGAAGACAGAGTTGGAGAGGCAGAGAACTGGAGTGCTCAGTCTTGGCCTGCGGGGGTGACAGGGAGACTGAAAAGGGAGAAAGTGAAATTGACAAGAGCCTTCCAGGTGGGCAGCCATCATTTTGATTCCCCCAATGGAAAATATAATTTTTTCTTCTTTTGGCAAAAGAGCAATTTTTCTGTGGAAAATTTCATTTTTGCCAAAAGGGCATTTTCCATTGAAAATCATTCCAGTTCCTCAACAGCTCTACATTTGCTATCCTTTTCCCTTGAAAGAGCACCTGACAGCTGTGCCACGTGGACACACATTCGGTTTGTTTTCATAATCTGAAGAACAAGTTTTGCTGGGGTTGTGGGGAGGGAGGAGCAGTGGCAAAAGCTTGGAAAACTGAACTGGTGAATAGTGTTCTTTTAAAAAAATGAAATAAATAAGTGGAAATATTAGTTTGCGTTACAGGATCATCTTTTGGAACAGCCCAGCTGGGACAGCCCAGCTGGGTACAGGTTGGTGGCAGAAGTGAATACCTGGAATGTGAGCCTGAATATTCTTAGACCATTCTGGAATCGAATATAATGCCATTGTAAATGAATAGGGGAGTTGGACAGTAAACTCTCCAGGGACTAAAACAAGTTATATTAGACCTTGGCATTGTAGAATAGCTTTTTACATAAAGCGCTCAAAGCACTTCGAGAACACAAATTAATTCTCAACAAACCACTGTAATATAAGTTCTATTAACTCTATTTTACAGATATGGAAACAGTTAAAGAGGGTAAGGGCTCAGTTTTTCCTGTCTGTCTCCATAAATATGCTAGCCTGAGGAGAAGGGAAAGGAAGACCTTTACCTTAAGCACACCTATGCAGGATTGCAGCCATAATCCTTGCCTTAGCCCAGGGAGTGTAAGAGATGGACCAGCTAGTACAGCCTGTATCATTCACCAGCTCCAGGGCTGAGATTGGCATGGGAAGTTATATCAGGATCTGCTCTGCCTTGTGTTGCCTTGCTCTGTGTTCAGGAGACGTTATACTGCTGACATTGCTTCTCAAATTGTGAAGCTCTTCCTCTTCCAACCCTCTAACATGGCTCAGACTCACAGGAACCCTAATTGAGCTGCCCAAGGTCCCTCAGTGGGTCAGTGGAAAAGCTGGAAAAAGAACTCTGCTTTTTGACTCCCAAACGACTAAACCAACATCAAATAGAGTACATTTTACTTCATTTGCAGTGGAAAGGGAGCATGACAGGTTCCTTTGCAGATTATAGAAACACAATTTTAAAGATTGGTTTCTCTAGCAACAAGAATGAGGAGAAGATTCATGAGTTTCTCCCACCTACTCATCTTTTATGCAGTGAAGCAGATGGTTTGGATAATGCAGGTATTAGAGATGCTAATTTACTGAGCGTGGAAAGAAATATAAATACTGAAGTTTATGTGCTCTGCAGCATTCAATATCACAGTATAACAATAACTTCACATTCATGCTTCTCCAAAGTTCTGGAAGTCTGTATTGATACTCATAATACTTATACAGTGGTGAAAAAACCCCTAAACACTATATTAATGCAGAGTTAAGATTGCTTGGCAGTATGTCATCCCCTTACAGAACAGTGAATTGAGAAAAAAAACCCCTCAAGCTTCTGAAAACCAAGAAATAAACTGTTAAGGATGCCCATGCAACTTCAACTCTGCCTTCTCTCTCTCTCTCTCTCTCACACACACACACACACACTAAGATCCAGCAGGAGGTGAGAGGCAGACCAGTTGAAAGTCTCTGGGTAAAGCTAAGAGGGGTAAAAAATAGGGGTGACATCACAGTAGGAGTCTACTATAGGACAAAAAGAACAGGAGTACTTGTGGCACCTTAGAGACTAACAAATTTATTAGAGCATAAGCTTTCGTGGGCTACAGCCCACTTCATCGGATGCATAGAATGGAACGTATAGTAAGAAGAAATATATATACATACAGATAAGTTGGAAGTTGCCATACAAACTGTGAGAGGCTAATTAGTTAAGATGAGCTATTATCAGCAGGAGAAAAATTTTTTTGTAGTGATAATCAAGATGGCTCATTTAGACAGTGGACAAGAAGGTGTGAGGATACTTAACTTTAGGGAAATAGATTCAATAGATAGTCAAGCATGCTCAGTGTAAATATAGGATAAAGGTTACAGACCATAATACTAAACAGACCATAATATTCAAAAATGGTAAACAACAGTGACTCAGCAGTTATGTTCCAACAGTTGTGATTGGAGAACAAGAGAAGGATTAAGAAAGAAGTAGCCAATAGCATAACTGGAATGACTGGAATGCTCAGAATGGGTGTGATGGCTGGCAAAACTATAAAAGGGAGTGCGCCAGAAGGGATTTTTAGGTCATTAGAGAAAGAGAAGTCAAGGGCAAGAGGAGGAAAAGGAGGAGCATTTAGAAGAAGGAGAAATCAGAAGCAACAGCAGAAGAAGAAGCCACAAGGTGAGCAGCAGCAGTACGAGCTGCTGGGGCAGAGCAGAAAGGACCATGACAGAGCAGAGACTGAGAAGCCAGCAGAGAAAGTAAGATTGCTGATAGATTGTTATAAGCTGGTGTGTACACATGTGTATGTCTGAGTTAATAAAGGTGTGTCTATGTATGTATGTGTTTATATTAATTGACATGTATAGAGTTTAAATTACAAGCAACTGACACCGCATGCAGAACACAGCCATTTAGTATTGCTCTAACTGTATGTTATTGCGGTTCCGGTGCTTTTAGCCTGTACCCAAGGGTTGTGTTAATAAAAGGGATTTATATTTCAATTATTACATCAGAAATTACTATTTACATCAAAATAAAGAAGTGCCTTGTTTTTGAAAAATATTGGCTGGGTGTCAACCATTTCTATTGGAGGGCTGTATCCCTGACCTCTCAGGGTCTGTTTAACCCAAGATTCCTTACCAACCCTGGGAACCCATACCTGACAGAAACAGATTAGCAGACAGGTGGGCTGTCTTAGAGAGGACCCTTGGCAAACCTGGGAGGGGGCAACAAGTGAGCTATTCTGAGGGTACCATAAATCTGTTTTTGGGGTAACAATAGGAAGATTAGTAAGAGGTCAATATGGCTGCAACAGGAGCTTTTTAATGACCTGAAAAAATCCAAAAGAAATCCTACACAAAGTGAAAATATGGACTAATTGCTAAGGTGGAGTACAAAAGAATAGCACAAGCAGGGAGGGACAAAATAAGAAAGGCTACGGCACAAAACATAAAGCAAGGAACATAAAAGGCAATAAGAAGAGATTCTATAAATACATGAGGAGAAAGAGAAAGAGGAAGGAAAGTGTAGATCCTCTACCTAGTGGGGAAGGAGAGCTAATAACTGACTACATCAAGAAGACTGAAGTTTTTAATGCCTATTTTACTTCAGTTTTCACTAAAAAAGTTAATAGTGACCAAATACTCAACACAATTAATATGAACAAGAGGAAAGAAATGCAAGCCAAAATCGGGAAATAACAGGTTAAAGAATATTTAGATAAATTAGATGCATTCAAGTCAGCAGGATTTGATTAAATTCATCCAAGGTACTTAAGGAATTACCTAAACCAATCTTGAAACTGTTAGCAGTTATCTTTGAGAACACATGGAGGATGGGTGAGGTTCCAAAGGACTGGAGAAAGGCAAACATAGTTCCTATCTTTAAAAAGGGGAACAAAGAGGACCCAGAGAATTATAGATTAATCACCTTAGCTTTGATACCTGGAAAGATACTGCAAGTTATTATTGAACAATCAATTTGTAAGCACCTTGGAGATAATAGGGTTATAAGGAGTAGCCAATGTGGATTTGTTGAAATCAAATTATGTCAAACCAATCTAATTTCCTTCTTTGACTGGGTTACTAGTAAGGTAGATCAGGGTGGGGAAAGGAGTAGACATGATCTATCTTGGTTTTTGTAAGGTTTTTGACATAGCCCCACACAACATTCTCATAAATAAACTATGGAAATGTGATCTAGATGAAATTACTTGAAGGTGGGTGCACAACTGGTTGAAAGACCATACTCAAGGAATAGTTATCAATGGCTTACTATCAAACGGGGAGGATGTATCTAGTGGGATCAGTCAGAACTATTCAATATTTTAATTAATGACTTCGATAATGGAATGGAGAGTATGCTTATAATTTGTGGATGACACCAAGCTAGGAGATGGGTTGCAAGCACTTTGGAGGATAGGATTAGAATGCAAAATGACCTAGACAAATTGGAGAATGGGTCTGAAGTCAACAAGATGAAATTCAGTGGAGACAAGTGCTAAGTACTTCACTTAGGAAAGAAAAATCAAATGCAGAACTACAAAATGAGGAATACATGGCCAAGTGGTAGTAGTGCTGAAAAGAATCTGGGAGTTATAGTAGATTACAAATTGAATATGAGTCAACAGTGTGATGCAGCTGTGAGAAAAGCTAGCATCATTCTGGGTTGTATTAAGAGAAGTGTTGTATGTAAGACAGGAGGTAATTGTCCTGCTCTACTCAGCACTTGTGAGACCTCTGCTGGAATGCTGTGTCCAATTTTGGGTGCCACACTTTATGAAAGATGTGGACAAATTAAAGGTTGTTATAAAGAGGATGGTGATCAGTTGTTCTCCTTGCCCACTGAAGGTATGACAAAAGTAATAGGCTTAATCTACGGAAAGCTCTTGAATAGGCTTCCAAAGGAGGTTGTGAGAATCCCCATCATTAGAGGTTTTTAAGAACAGGTTGGACAAACACCTGCCAGGGTTGCTCTAGGTTTATCTAATCCTGGCTCAGTGTAGGGGGTCTGGACTCAATGACCTCTTGAGGTCCCTTCCAGCAATACATTTCTATGATTCTGTACATTTACTTTGCCAATCCCACAGTTACTGAAATGTACAAGCTCTTCATCTCCTTTTACAACCCATTCACTTCATGTCACCTTCCCTCTACCCTCTTCAGGAATGCAGCCACTCACACTGGCCCTTGGCACTGTAAAATTCAAGATGTTCCAGATCCTGGCATACACTAATATACTTAGCCAACTCCCCAGAAAGAATACCACATGAATGATAAAATGTTACTGAAAAGTGGTTGCAAATACATCTGCCACTGGCGATTTTTGTGATTCTGTGACCTTATACTCAGGTATATTTAATTTTTTCCTCTTCCCTGTCACTGTGTGAAAGACTCACAAACACAATTAATTAACTATACAGGGGAAGCAGCATAACTCACTATGCACACAGTCTTGTAAAATGCACAAGGTAACCAGATTAGAATAAATGGGAACATTTTCATTTATATTATATTAATCTTAATGTATGTCTATATCTATGGCGGCATGTAGACTTACAGACACGGCATGCCCGGCTAGCATGGGTTTAAATAGCAGCATAGACAGTGAGGCACAGCTTAGGTGAATAGAGTAGAGTGTCCTACAGACCTGAATCCTAGTGTTTATATACCCAAGCAGTGCCTCCCACATCTACACTACTCATTTTTAGCAGTGTAGCATCCCACTGTTTCCCTGCTGCCAGAGCCTTTCCCCACCTCATTGAAAGGCTTTGACAACAAGGAAAGGCTCTGGCATTGTGGAGGCAGTGGAGAAAGGCTCCAGAAGCAGGGAAAGGCTCTATCCTGTCCCCACTCCTGGACTCTTTCACTTCTGCTGATGCCTTTTGCTGGCACCTGTAGGTACACACCGCAATGACAAGCATGGACCCAGACTGCTTTCACAGTTGCAGGTCTCTGCACTTGTAGTGCCTGTACTATACTCTGGTGTAGACAAGTCATTAAGTATTAAAATTTACTGTACTAAATACAACATGTTCAGACAGAATGTGATTTTTAAATGGACAATAACCCTTTAATCACTGTCATCATCAGTAGAAGTTAAGATCAGACCTGACCCTGTTTTTTAGATTAATGGTTTATTATATGTAATGTTTACATTCCTGCAAACCTATCCCCCAAAGAAGGATGGATACGAAAAGGATGGGAGGAGAGAACTCAACAGGAAACGTCAGTGATTTCGTTTGTTGTTTGGCACACATTCTGTTAAACGTGAGTTATGTTTTATGGTCATAAGGCTACTTGCCAGACAGTGCCTCTTTTGCCAGAGTACTTAAGTGTCTGATTCTGCACATTGCTAAGCATTCTCAACTCCCATCAACTGTAATGGGAGACAGAGGTGCTCACATTTGGCAGGAGGTAATCAGAATCTCACAGGATCCTGACCTTATGTGATCTTCCCTTGGAGAAGCAAAAAGACTCGCATTACTCCAATAATAAGTGGTCATAAAAAATATCTGATTGCATAAATATGGAAAATGCCCAGCTCAGAGATGTCACATTGCCTAGAGTAATTGATGCCTTCACATTCTAAGCTGTCCCTATGCATCTAACCAGAAACATGTTATTACCCCTCACCAGTTATATTTATAACCTGAGCCTCATTTTCAAATGTGAACACACAAGTTATTGAAGGTGCTTGTATCCTTCATGAAAAAAAGAACCAACAGATCACTTGAAAATCAGCAAAATAAATAGATTCAGGGATATTTCAGCTTTCACCTCTGCCAGCCAGGAAAACAATTTTCGTGATTTATAACAAACTGCAAAGCAGAATGAGAGTGCACTTACACTGATGTTTCAGGAATCTCTGCAAATAGGAATGTTTTCATGCAAATGCTAAGTGACAAATAATAGAAACATCTCTGCCTTTAAAATTTCCAACAACTTTATAAATAGTTATTTTCATCTCTTTGTGTTAGGAACTGAATTGTTCAATTCACTTTCCAGTACCAAATAAGAATAATAAAAAACCTTATGATCAATAAAATATTGTCTAACTTGTGGAAATATTCAGACACAGTTAGGTGTCACAGCATGTTCCCATTAATCATAGTTGTTGCTCTAGGTTTCTAAGCAAGGCACAGTCTGTAATTTCCTTCTGATTTTACATATTATTTATTGCAGGTAGGATGTTGAAACTGTGTGAAGGAGATGAGAGGATCAAGCCCATACATTAGGCTAGATTGCACACTGTACAGCTTATACCTGGTGAGCTTTTCTGAAGTCGAGTTCCTTCTAAGTGATCAATTCATTTTCTTCTAGTTACAGTAGTGAGACCCAAGATTGAAGACAAACTATTTTAAAGCTGCTCTTAACAGCAACTTCTGTAGAAAAAATGTTGCTGAAATAATATGGATGAGGATTCTTGGATTGCTTTCTGGAGATTCTTAACAAGCGATGGACGGCTATTTCTTTTCCCATGAATAAAAAATAATGCATAAGAGAATGTGATTTCTTTGCTTTGCAGATGTTCTCTAGATACCTGTACAACATGCCTAAAGGGTCTTTCTACAAATGGGAATCACAACAGCCTGATTCACATACTTGTACAAGTTCTTTACATCTTCCTAATAGAGTATTTTTTAGATATATTAAACCTCAAGAGGGAGGGAGGATATAAATACATGTTATATATGTCTGAAATGGAAAGAAGATCATGTACACATATAGAATGGCTGCAGAAAAACCAAGATAGGTTCTAATAATATTTCTGCACATAGTAAGGAGAAGAGCTAATAATAGTTTCCCACCTTATTTTCAGCAGAATGACATACAGCTAGTAAAGTCTGGGAAAGATATTTTTGGTTGATTGTTCAAGTGGCAGTGTATCTGCTCTGTATAACCACCTTGTAAAATATTTATACAGAGAATTGATTACTAATTTTGTGTCTGAGATTACTATGGAAAAGTTCACAAATGATAGATAAGGGATTGTTCTGCTTGATGTATCAGGGAGACTATAACCTTTCCCAGACCTATACATTGGTTTCCAAATTTAAAACAGTCTCCTTACACAATAACTCTTACTGCTGGGATACCATCCTGTTAAGTGAAGGTTGTGAATGCCTTGACAAAATCAGTATGCAATGTAGTTGTAGCTGGGTCACTCCTAGGATATTAGAGAGGCAAGGTGGGTGAAGTAATATCTTTTATTGGACCAACTTCTGTTGGTGAACAGACAAGCTTTTGAGATCTGCAGAAGAGCTGTGTGTGGCTCAAAAGCTTGCCCCTCTCACTGACAGAAGGTGGTACAATAAAAGATATTACTTCACCTACCTTGTTCCTCAACAAAAGTTGACAGTTTTAGTGCTTAGAGCAAAATGTCTTTTGTTTATTGACATGTCAACATTTTCAAAGGTGGCCTCTGATTTTCAATTTCTCTGATTTTTATATCCAAATTGAGACATATTAGACTAGGTTTTCCAGATGTGCTGAGCAACCTCGGCTCCGATTATCTTTAAGTGGAATTATAAGCAGAACACATCCAAAAAACAACATTCTGTTTGGACACTCAAAAATGGAGACACCCAAAATGTGATTTCACATTGCAAAATTTTGACCTATGGGGCCTTGTGGATAAGACTCTACAGTGGGAGTCTGGAGATCTCATTTCTCTTTCTGGTTCTACCTACTGTGTGACGTTGAACAAGTCACTTTATTCTCCCACCCATTGTCTGTTTTGTCTACTTACTTAGGCCTTGTCTTTTATTCTTAACTCAAGTTAACCAACTTGAGATAAAGTCCTAATGAAGACAAGGCAGTTTGTAGTTTTCATATGAATTAGTGAGTCAAGTTAAGACCCAGGCTCAACCATGGTTTTTAAACTCGATCTACAAACTTGTCTGAAAATTGCAAACAGCCTTGTCTTCACTAGGGTTTTATCATGAGTGAGTTAACTTAAGTTATCAAACTCATGTTAAAAATACATGTTCTTTTCCCTAGAGAAGACACAGCCTTAAGCTATCAGTTTTCCAGGACCGCAACTGTCTCCTATTATGTATTATACAGTGCCTAATACCAAGAGGGTTTATCTCATCTGGGACCTTTTGGTGCTACTGCAATACAAGCAGTATGTCCAAAGTTACAGAGGACTTCTGAGTCAGAGCTGGAGCAAAACCCAGATCTCTTTACTCCAGTCCATTAACCACAAGACCATACTCTCCATGTAGTAATGAGATCAAAGGACAACATTTTCAAACCTGGTTGCCTAAAACTTTGCCTCCTTAATCCATTCTTACGTATTTAAGATGGAATTATGCTCCTAAATCACTTAGATCATTTTGAAAATTCTACCCTGGATGCATAAGCATGTATTCAGGAAGCTAATTTTTAGGCACCCACATCTAAATATTCTGGCCAAAAGATCCATGAGAGTGTATTATGCAATGAGTTGTAACCTGAGAGGATATCTCATAAAAGATATTTACTACCTATTCTTTTATACACACCTGCTAATGATACAACGAAACTTCAATGCCCCCCTTCTCCATTTTAAATTCCTGTGATTTATTTTTTAATTTAAAAAGTTTCTTATAAAAGCCATTAGTAAAAATGGTCCCGTGAAGTAGAGAAAAGAATTGGAGCTTCAGAATTCAACCTTCTGCAATTTGTACAGTTAGTCATTATGAAATGTATCTGAGTAACTGTGCAAAGTGCATTTTTCAGCTTCAGATATCTGGGCATGTAATTGGATTCACAAAAGAGGGGATGGGAATGGAGGGATAGTAAAACTGACATAATGAAATTACTACAAAGAGCTACACTGATACAAGTATCCTTTTTGCTCATCCAGTCCCCTGAAGAGAATGAATTTAGAATCTTGCATTGTTGGGTTGTACAACTCTACAGCTAGAATGTGTCAGTTTTGACCTGGAAACATTAAACAATAAAACTATGTGGGTTGAACAAAATGTATGTTTCTGCAGACCAAAAATAGCACTACTGATTAGGCTGGTTTTAAAATGTTTCATTTAGCCTTGGGATGTGTTTTGCATTCTAATGTAATACCACTAGGCCTTTAAAAATGCTTCAGCTTTGAAATTTGCTACAGATCAATAAACACAAAATTTGGGGAGAGGGGTGTCAGCCTTAACCTTTTTATCAAAGATACCATGGATGAAATCCTGGCCTTATTGATGTCAGTGGGAGTTTTGCCATTGACTTTTATGGAGACAGGATTTCATACCTAGCCTTTTCACTTGTTTGTTAGTTGCAAAACAGCATACTTGCCAACTCTCCAGGGATTTTCTCAGAACCTCCCTTTTGGTGCTTGTAGCCCATATTTCTATCCATTTTCACATGATTTCCAGGAACACTGGTCTCTGCACTAAAAAACCCAAATAAAATCTCTTTAGATGCAGCAATTTAATATATATATATATATATATATATATATATATATATATATGTGTTTTTATAAAATGTTTAAACTCTAATGTATCTTTATAGATGCAGGAGAAAATGCAGGGTGCAAGAGAAAATGCTCTCTTCAGAAAATTTTTATACAGATCCACAACTTTTCAAACCAACTGAGATCTATTGCTTGTATGTGTCGTATTTTTGACAAAGTAATATCTACAGAACTGGATATTGGCATGATACACGATGGAACAATGTGTCAGCAGGCAAGTATGAGGAAATGTCTATAGAGACATAACATTGTTCCAAAACAAAACAAACAACAGCCTGCATTTTTAATGTATTTTAAAATTTACTCAGAATAGCTTAGTCCCATGGATTCTTCAGAGTGTTACTATGTGAGTGAACTGAGTTTAGGTGCATGATATCTGTTACTCACAAGATCAAAGAAGCTCACTAGGATGGATGCTTGAGCTTTAGGGTAGGATGGATGTAGGAAAGAGGCTGACTCCTGTTGATCAGTAGAAGAGTCCTAATGGTTTGGGTGTAACGGCGAATGATACAGCCTTGCCCAGGGTAGCTATGTAACATCATTCATGTTAAAAATCACTCATTTAAACTTGCTGCATATTTAGTTCTACTGAAAATAGATCAATTTTGCATTTGAAATGTCATATCACCATAGCATCTGCTTTACACTTTAAGTATAGACTCATAGAAGATTAGGGTTGGAAGAGACTGCCGGAGGTCATGTAGTTCAAGCCCCTGCTCAAAGCAGAACCAGCCCCAACTAAATCATCCCAGCCAAGGCTTTGTCAAGCCAGGCCTTAAAAACCTCTAAGGATGGAGATCTCACCACCTCCCTAGGTAACCCATTCCAGTGCTTCACCACCCTCCTAGTGAAATAGTTTTTTTCCTAATATCCAACCTAAACCTCTCACACTGCAACTTGAGACCATTGCTCCTTGTCCTCTTATCTACCACCACTGAGAACAGCCTAGTTCCATCCTCTTTGGAACCCCCCTTCAAGTAGTTGAAGGTAGTTCTCTTCTGCAGACTAAATAAGCCCAGTTCCCTCAGCCTCTCCTCATAAGTCATGTGCCTCAGCCTCCTAATCATTTTCATAGCTCTCCGCTGGACTTTCTCCAATTTGTCCATATCCTTTCGGTAGTGGGGGCCCCAAAAGTGGTCTCAATACTCCAGATATGGCCTTACCAGTGCCAAATAGAGGGGAATAATCACTTCCCTGGATCTGCTGGCAATGATCCTACTAATGCAGCCCAATATGCCATTAGCCTTCTTGGCAACAAAGGCACACTGTTGACTTATATCCAGCTTCTCATCCACTGTAATCCCCAGGTCCTTTTCTTCAGAACTGCCACTTAGCCAGTTGGTTCCCAGCCTGTAGCAGTGCATGGCATTCTTCCATCCTAAGTGAAGGACTCTGCACTTGTCCTTGTTGAATCTCATCAGATTTCTTTTGGCCCAATCCTCCAATTTGTCTAGGTCACTCGGGACCCTATCCCTACCTTCCAGCATATCTACCTCTCCCCCACAGTTTAGTGTCATCCGTAAACTTGCTGAGGGTGCAATTCATCCCATCATCCAGATCATTAATGAGGATGTTGAATAAAACTGGACCTAGGACCGACCCCTAGGGCACTCCGCTTGATATCGGCTGCCAACTAGACATCGAGCTGTTGATCACTATCCATTGAGCCCAACGATTTAGCCAGCTTTCTATCCACCTTATAGTCCATTCATCCAATCCATACTTCTTTAACTTGCTGGCAAGAATACTGTGGGAGACCATATCAAAAGCTTTGCTAATGTCAAGGTACATCACGTCCACTGCTTTCCCCATATCCACAGAGCCAGTTATCTCATCATAGAAGGCAATCAGGTTGATCAGGCCTGACTTGCCCTTTGTTAATCCATGTTGACTGTTCCTAATCACCTTCCTCTTCTCCAAGTGCTTCAAAATGGATTTCTTGAGGACCTGCTCCATGATTTTTCTGGGGACTGAGGTGAGGCTGACTTGTCTGTAGTTCTTTGCATTCTCCTTCTTCCCTTCTTTAAAGATGGGCACTACATTTGCCTTTTTCCAATCGTCCAGGACCTCCGATCGCCACCAGTTTTCAAAGATAACGGCCAATGGCTCTGCATTCACACCAGCCAACTCCCTCAGCACCCTCGGATGCATTTCATCTGGCCCCATGGACTTGTGCATGTTCAGCTTTTCTAAATAGTCCTTAACCTGTTCTTCACCACTGAGGGCTGCTCACCTCCTCCCCAGTGCAGCAGTCTGGGAGCTGACCTTGTTAGTGAAGACCGAGGCAAAAAAAGCATTGAGTACATTAGCTTTTTCCACATCCTCTGTCACTAGGTTGCCTCCCTCATTCAGTAAGGGTCCCACACTTTCCCTGACCTTCCTCTTGTTGCTAACATACCGGTAGAAACACTTCTTGCTACCCTTCACATCCCTTGCTAGCTGCAACTCCAATTGTGCTTCTAATATAATTAGAAATGTTAAATCTAACCTCGTTAGGATGGATATGGCTGGCAATGGATCAATTGTCTGGGTTACTGAGGCACATGAAAGTGTATCGGTTGCTCATCTGGCCCTACTGTGCTTGTTGGCATTCTCACCGGTGCCTTGGACTGTAATGGGTACATCCCATCTTTTACTTACAAACTAAAAGTTGCCCCCTTTCAACCAGCTGCATGCAGTCATTTTTATAATGTAAATGTGCGTTCTGTAGTCTCTTCGCTGACTTCAAATCTGTGATAC